CTTTAAGTAGAGCAGAGGTGCTTTGGAAGGTTGTGCCTTGGAAGGTTGTGTGTTGCCTTTATAGGCAGGCTTAGTTTCGTTACCAGCAGTGTCCACATAAAGCCATTCTTAGGCCCTGTCCATTGATTTATTCCATTGATTTATCTCCCATATAATCCTGACTCTACTTGTCTCCAGACCTGGATCTGCAACTTGGACTCACCTTGAGCTCTCCAAAGAGTAATTGTATCTGTGCTTTCCTTGATGTTTTACCTTAAGCAGTTTCCTTCTTTTGACCCTGAGTGTCTTGTTGCTCTGATAGGAACTCCCCACCCGGCTCTCCCCCTGGTGATAGAAACTCAATTTCTGCCCAGTAACCACTGGACCAGCTCCTCTTCTTCAGTTAGTGTTCCCAGGTTCCAAGAGAGCAAGATTATTGGCAGTCATAGGGATGATCCCATGTCACCAAGGATTAATTATATTCTAGATTCTCTGAGAAGACATTACCTTTTAGAAAAAAAAATGCAGTATGATCGAAAGTAAACGTAATTTTTCAAAAAATTTACATGAGTAGTTCTTCAACTATTTTGAAAATCTTGGTCATTCTCAATATCTTATTCTTTGAGCTTTCCAAATAGCGAGATGATACAGTATAATAGCTGCAGAGTGATTCAGAGAATTGTAATTTAAGGTTATGGGATATATTATTTTTGAAGAACATAACCAACTTTTTTAGTAGCTTGCACAGCTTTCATATAAAAAAATATATTGCATTAAATGAAGCCCTTTTTTAACATTTTATTTACAGATTTGTCTTTTAGATCAATAGCAGCAAATACATAAGTAGAGACATTATGATGTCATAAAATAGTTGGAAAGGGAGATAGTAGCACAAGTGGTTGTTGACATGAAATGTTTATTTTAAGGGAATTCTTGGCATTTTTGTCCCACATCGGCATAATGAGAATTTGTAGGAGAGGCCCAGCATTAATGTATCTGTTAAGGATTAATGTCCTTGTAGAGCATTTGTTAGTGAATATATTATGGATAGTACCATAAATATAGTAATTAAAAAATTGCACACTAAACACTTTGTGGACTGGCATAAATATTCCTTTAGTCCCCTCAGTGGCTTGCGTTCAAGTGAATAGTGTATTGTTCATCTTGGTCTCTTAGCATTCTTAATCAAGAACAGAAAGAAGGATGGCATTCTCAAAGAGTTGTTTCCTTCTCAAGATCTTGCTGATCAGATGGGCAGAAACATTGGTTGTTTTCAGAACCGAGAGTTATTTTTAACAGTTCAGAAAAATGTCACATACTACATGCAACAACAACAACATCTCACTCTTCCTCACTTTTGGAAACTTGATCATTAAAGTTATTTTCAGATAATACCATAGTGTGATGTATAAAATGTGTTTAATATGATCAGTGGTCCCTCAAAGCTTATGTGCTATAAAAGACGTGAAATGATGAATAATATAAATATATAGTAGGACAAAACCATAAACCTGTGAATTTTCTGAATTTTCAAAGAAGCGAGTCTTGATTTCTTATTACTATCCATTGCCTCAGTGGGTTCACCTCGAGCAGGCTGCTATGTTGAAGGGGCATCTGGGAGGAGGCACCATGCTGTTAGAGTAATGATGTCCTGTCGTTTCACACAGGAGGGTAACAGAAGAGGCAGACAGATGCAAAGTGGGCAATTTCCATGTCTTTGTGTGCTCAAAATGCGCACCTACCCATTTTCTCATTTAAGAGGCATTTTGTTTTTCATAATTTCATTATTTCTGAATCCTTTTACTTAACACAGAGTATTTATTTATGAGTTCATAAAGAGTTTCTTCTGTGAGGAGGAAAGGAAATGCAGTTGACTGAGATTTGCAGCTTGGCTTTGAATCAATTAGAGTGGGAAAGGAAGGAATAGAAAGACTATTTCTGTTCTCAGTATTTAATTGGTCTTTCTTCTTTCTTAGTTGTGTGAACTCTTCACTTATGCATTGGGTTATTGATGTATTCCACAGTTATTGACTGATTGTTATAGATCCTTGCCCTGGGGATACAAGGATGAAGGCCCAGTCAGTAGGCATCAGATGGCTTTGGAACCTTCTCAGTCCTGGCTGAATTCAATGATGATAAGGTGCTTATCTAGAATTCTAAAATGCTGTCATCTTCCAAAGATGGCCTGGAGAGGTTCATATTAACAGAACAAACTGTGGAGCAGCCTCAGAATTTCTGAGGTCACACAGGCTGCCTGGAGAACATAAAATCTATTTTGCAAGGCCTTTTCCATTGCATTAGATTTTCTAATGAACCTTGCTACTTTGGGTGTTATTGGAGTGCTTTCCAAGAACTAAGTCACTCCACCCACTTCTGTATTTGCCAGAACTCGAGGTTGAGTGGGCAGGAGGCCGAAGTGGGACGCCATCGCTGCTGTCTTAAGAGGCATTATGCTAGGAAATCTCGGGGGCAGGTTCTGCTGCCAACTCCATTCTCCCCTTCTTCTTGCCTTTGCTTTCAAATGTCTGACCTGATTTTCATTACGTTAGTCGTGCTAGGAGGGATCTTTGAGTTGAAGCATCTTAAGAAGCCTTATAAGATGGTGGGTAGTGGTTTCACTTAATGAAACTATATGCAAACCTTTGGAAAGATTGGCACCCAAAACCTAAGATCATTTTAAGAAGAGCGTTCCTCTGAATCTTTTGCGTACATTTTGATACTAAGTTCTACTAGGGGTGTGCTTACTCATACCTTTCCACCTTGATATGTACTGGCAAATACAGTATTTATTTTCATTAAAATGGGGTTGGTCTACTTTAATTTTGGAGGGTAGCATGCCTGAAACCAAGATTTTCAAGATCTGTGTCTCCAAACCATTTATGTGTCAACTCATTTCAGCAGAGAGTCTTGCCATCAACAATATTGATGTCATTTAGCGTATTGTCTCCAACATCCCAATGCTGTTGCCACTTATTATAACCAGGTTTGTCTTTATTCCTCTAACTCTAATATTCTTCTCATAACAGAAGGTTGTGGGTTGCGCTTCCTCTTCAAGGCCAGCCCCTCCCGCCTCCTTTGGGATCTTCTTCCATCCTTCCCTCTTCCCTCTTGTATTCTCAACCTTTCTCTCTCTACTCATTCCTTCAGCTTATCGATGTGGACTTCCACTAACACTGTCCCTTCCAGCAACCCCCCGTTCTCCTCTTCTGCTGGCTCTGTTATCTCTGCCTCCACCCTTCCACTGAAAGGGCCCTTACTTAGTCAAGGTGGCCAGTGACTGCTTGACTACCAAATCCAAAGGTATATTTTTCATTGCTTGTCTTAATTCATCTCATTGTATCCCATGGTACTTCTCTGCCTTTCTCCCTTGGTCTTGTTCAAAAATATCTTTTTCCTGTACCCATTCTATCATTGTTCATGTTCTCTAGGGTTCTGCTTTCAGCTCTGATCGCTAATCTTCCCATTCTATCCACGTTCCTTCAGTGGTGTCACCCACTAACATAATTTCTGCTACTTTCTGTGTAACAATCACTTATATGCCCTTATGTTTTGCTCAGGTTTCCTCCCCGAACTTCATACTCAACGATGTCTTGGTATCCCTACCTGAACCTTCTACACCTCAATTTCTGATGCCCCAAACTAATCCCTAAACTTATTTATTCTCCTGGATTCTCTACCTCAGTTGTCACTCTTGTCCACCCACATGTAGTCATTTTTCCAAGTTGTTTTGCTTTTGGTGTCTGGATGTTTCCCAAGCACTAATTTTTCTCTGCTTTTCCCTTTCCTACCTACTTCCACTGCCCTAATCCCCACCTTTCCTCCCCTACCTAACGATTAAACTGGCCTAATTGGTCTCCCTGCCTCCGTTCTGCCCCCCTTGAATCCATCCAGAGAGAGTAAGGCATCTGAAACCCATCAGTGGTTGTCTGCAACCAGGATAAAGTCAGAGTTCCTGGATGTGTATATAAGGTTATGATCTGGCTCCAGACTTCTTTCTTGGCCTCACCCCACAACACCCGAATTACATCATGCAGTTTCTTACCTCTGCCTTTTTTTTAGTCTTGGGCCCATTACCAGCTTGGCTAAGTCCTACCCAGCCTGAGGACCTGCCAGACACCCCATTTTCTTGGAAGCTTTCCCCCATCTCTCCGTTTTTGGGCTAGATGCCCCTGCTTGACATGAATCTCAGTCACTGCATTCATTCCACTGTCCTACCAGCCCATTGTGTGTGTCTCGGCCCCACTAGACTTCACTTTCCTTAACGACAGAGACTGTCTTCATCTTTACAGCTCCAGGGTCTAGCATAGTGCTTAGCATATAGTAGGTGTTCAACATATGGTTTTTAAACGAAAAATTAATGTCAGTAAATCAATTTCGTGTTTACAAAAATGGGCAAAAGTAAACTATGCACAGTAGTCACCTTTGGAGGGGGCATGAAGGGAGCTTCTGGGGTGCTGATACTGTTCTAGGGTTTGACCTGGTGTGTTCAGTTTAAGAAAATCCATTGTGCTGTCCACTTGTGGTATGTGTACTTTTCTGTAATGTTAGACTTCAGTGAAAAGTTTTTCTAAAAAATCAGTTTAACATCTTATGTACCCAATACAGAAAATTTTCTCTTTTTCCTTTCAAGCTCTTAGAATTTTTACAGGATATTAGTTCAGATGTCAGAGCAAAGAACAGGGCCACTGCTCTTCCTTTTCATTAAGGAAAAGTGAGATGAAAAGTATCAGTGAAATCCGCATGGAATTGCCTGGATCCAGAGAGGGCCAGTCAGCCAGCCTGCTGGATAGACTTGCAGTGACCTGCACTTCTGTCACAGTTATTACTGGGGCCACATGCTAATTGTCAGCAAGCTCTGTGCCTGCCTGTAGTGACAGGGAGACTTCGCCTCGGATGTGACTATGAATAATTCATAAATGTAGTTATCTGGAAATTTGTGGTCATCATTAGCATTTTAATGAAAAAAATGCAGTCATTATTCTCAATCTCTGTTTTGTTTCTACTTTTTTTCCTCCCCCCAGCACAGCTAACCCTCTCAGTCTTTCCTGAGTACGTGGAGACTGCTGAGGCCCCTGCTGAGGCCCCTGCTGATGTGCTGACTTGGTCGCTATGGGCAGACGGTACCCGGAGGCTCACTGTGGTGCAAGCAGCTCATGTACGTATGGCATTGGCCTCTCTCTCTTTTCCTTTAATTTCCATTGTAGAATATGGCAGGGTGCTGACCTGGTGAAGGTTTATAACATTTAACTGACAGTGTTTAGAAAAGCAGGAGAGTGAATCGCTCTAGGGTAAGTTTTTAATATTGAATGATGAGAAATGTTATCTAAATTAGGATTTTTACAATCCAGTGGCCCTATAAGACCAGGAGTGTATATCAGCAATCTCCCTTTCAAGGCACCCAGTCATAGGGTTTTTCTTTTAAACTTTCCTTTTTCATCATAAGATACAACATTTGCACCGATAGCAGTGCCATAAATTAAAAACATTTCCCAGGGATTGTTTTAATTCTTTTGAAATAAAAAAATTCATAGACTCAGAAGAGAGGACCTCTGGGTATGTCATTGTTGAGCACGTGTTAGGGACAAAGTCCTCGACTCTCATTTCTTAACATTCCTGATACCCTCAGACAACTTTCAGTGTCTCACAACACTTAGATTTTTCCAGTCATCATCTTTTGGGAATGGCTACAATTGCAGCCTTTCTCTGTTTGTAACGACCCATGATTCACTGAAGAGAAAAATGATTATTGCCCATTTAATGTTCTTTCTTATTTCTGTAAAGGAGAGTTTGTCTCAAATGTATTTTTTGTTCCCTTTGGTCTTTCAGCCTTGGGCCAGCTGTTTAGATATTTATTTACTTTTGTTGCTTCCCTTTGAATTTCTGGAATTTTGGCTTCAAATCAGGGGTGTGTTTGTGGTAATTCCCCAGAGTGCCTTTGCTCCTATAGCCTGTACATCGTTACGTTGTTTGTATCCACCTTTAAGTCCCCTTTCCTTGTACAGTTCAGTTTTTTCTTCATAGGAAAGTTAGAACCCGTTCAAGCCCATACCCAGACAACTGCTTCTAACGTCATCCTAAAGCCAGATCCTTGGGAGCAGCAGTGGAGGGAGAGCCGACAGAGGGGTGGATTCAGACCAGGCACCAGGGTCAAAGCGGCAGGGGTGGGACGGCCAGCTTTTGCACATATACCTCCGTATCCTCCAAGGGCATTGCTGTATTGCTCTAAAGTGAACAGTTTTCCTAGTGAACATCATCAGAAAAAGTTCACCCTGTGTACTGTAGACCAAGGTCAGCAGACAATGGCTCATGTGCCACATCCAGCCCAGGCCAGTTTTTGTAGGAGCTGACAATGGCTTCTATGGTTTTAAATGGTTACATTTTAAATGCTTATATAAATCTCTGTGTAATCTCTATTTTGCCTCTTGCCCCTTAAAGCCCCTTAAGAAAATATTTGCCTGTCCCTACTGTAGAAGAAAGTTGAAAGACATGTTCTATGATTGAACCCTATGAAACTGTTGTTATTCACCCTATCAAGATGCTTATTTCATATGGTTCAGCCTAAATGTATATAAAGGAAATTCTTCTTTGAAATGGTTAAAATTCTAAGGTTTGGGTTCTTGGAGTGGACGAAGTAAGTTTACTCGGAAAATTCACAGATGTGGACCTGCTCCCTTTCACCATGGAGGGGAATGAGTCACTGCGTCCCTCCTCTCCGGGGGTTTCTAGTGGACTCCGAGCTGCAAGGGCTCATGCTGTCAAGTAGCTGACAAAGCTCTTCTTTGTCACTTGACTTACTATTTTTTACCAAGAGTTCTCTAGGAGGAAACTGCCTTCTTACTTACCCTCCTGGGTGCAGGGACCTGCGGGCATCCTCAGAGGCCTCTGCTGAGGGTGTCACCTGTGCTTTTTGCTGGTGGGAAGGAGGGTGAGTGGCTGCCTTTTCCATGGGGCACACATGTTGGTCCTTTGACCTGCAGTGTGTCTACATAACATGTTTCCTGAAACATGCTTCCCTGGAACTGGAATGTGGTTCTCACCCTTTTGTGCTTTCCTTCTCTTTGTTTAAATATTGTTGATCCCTAAGTTTAGTGCATTAAAACCGTCATTTAGTTTATATGGTTTCTTTTCCATCTTCACCCCTCCCCTTTGTGCCTCCCTTCTCTGGATCATTGAATGAACTTTGCTTGCTAAAGCCTCCAACTGACCTTCTTCGTGGCCACACTTCGTGCTAGGAAGCATTAACCTCAGCTGCTCTGTCTCCTGTCACCTAAGACTAGAAATCTAAGATGACTTGGGGCCAGGCCTAGTTCTGAACAGGGCCACATTGTTTCCAGAGACGGGAAACTATTTCAGGGGGAAAATAATTCTCTGGAGTTTATAGTTTTGTTATTAAGTGTGGACAGGAGTTGGTAGTACATACCGCGTGCTCTGAATTGTTTTTGAGGCTCCCATGGCAGCTTGGAGTTTGGATTCTCTCTCCCTTTTTGGGATCATGTCTCTGCCTTTCGAGGCTAGCTCCCTTTTGGACAGGCTGTTGTTCTTTCATGTGTGTGGAATGGCATCCATTGAGCGTAAGAAGTCAGGAGCTAGAGCTGACCTCTCCCGACTTTTCAACAGATATCTGCGCTTGTGTTGACGAGAATTAAATTATCCTGGGGGTTGTTAATAAGGTTGCATCCTTAATTGTTTTTGCTTGCACCTGTCCGTTCCTTTGCATGGATGCAGCCGCTGCTCTAACCCCGGCCGTCGGGATCTGGACCGTTGCAGCAGTTTCCTGACTTCTGGCCTGAAGTCTCCCTCCCTGCAAATTTGTCTCATTCATAAAAACCAAATTAATCTAACTGCCAAAGCACAGCTCGACCATGTCACTTCCCTGCCAAGAGTTTTTAGTGCGTCCACACTAGTCCAGAGGGCGCCCTGACATTTTAGTCCTCTGCACACCCTTTGCCTTGGGTCACTGTGCCATCGCTCAGGCTGTTCCCTCTCTGAAACGTGGGCCCATCGCCAGACCCGCTGAAACCCTGCTCTGGCTTCAGGCTGCAGCAGAGCAGCCCTCTTTTCTAGGAAGCCTCGGTGGCAGCACATGCTCCTGTAGCTCTTACATCTCCCTCCTGAGCTTGTGTCCCAAATCACTCTGTATGTATACTTTGTCTGAACTTGGACACTAAACATTTCATTTCCCTTCTCTCCTCTGTGTGTGAGGGCAGTGCTTTATCTATGGTCAGTGCTCAAATATGTGTGGAATCACCTTGGGTGTGGGGGTGCGTCTGGATAACTCTCCTCAGGATAACTGTCCTCAGGAAGCCCCTGCAAAGCATTTTCCAGAGCGCTTGGAAGAGCCCGTGAGGCCAAGGCCGAGGGGGCCTCCCGGGCAGCTGTGTGCTGGGCCTGTGCCGCTCACTGGCCCAGCTCGCCTTCTGCCTTTCCTTCCCTCTCACTCAGAGGGGTCGTGTTTCTTCCCTTCTGCACTTAAGAAGTTGCATTTGAAAAGGTGAAACAGCCACAGGCACGAGTGATTCTTTCTTTTGGCCTTTCCTTGTCGCCTTCCCCACTCTCACTGATGAAAGGCCTTGGTTGTCTTTGTGGATCTACTTCATGCCGCACATTGTGTCCTGATATTACTAGAGGTTTTTCACTTCCAACTGGGTAAACTTTGAAAGGTTCATCTTACTATCCCCATCTCACAGATGGGAAAGTGAGGCCTGAAACAACAAAGTAACTTGTCAGAGCGGAGTTGCGTGTGAGCCTCTGTTTGTCTGCTCCCCATGTCTGTGTTCTTCTTCCTCACCTGGCTTTCTACTGACCTGCTGGGCTCTGGGGTGATCACTTATTTAGATGATGTCTACTTACTTGTTCTCACTACGACAGCATTTGGTAATATGGGTCTTGAAGGCCTAAAAGATTCAGCATCAAGGATGCTGACATCTGTCTCATGTCTCCTCTTTCATCCATTCTTTAAACCCGGTAACCACAGGTAATATGAAGGCCCTAGCAGAACACTTTGTATAGAAAGAATAATAATAGTTAATACAGAAATAGTAACATCATGTAAGTAATACACATTTAACGTAGAAAATTTTAACAAATAAAAAGGTTCTCACAACCCTACACTCCAAGAGATAACCGCTTTTAACATTTTGTTGAATACTTTTCTATACCTCAGATATTTCCTCTTAATATATTTTATATTTCTGTTTATTTACAGAAATGGGACAGTGATATCCATTGTGTTTACTCAACCACGTGCCATAAATATCTCTTTAGACCAGTACATTTACTTTCATAGCAACTCACAAGTAGCCGCAGCCTGTGGTAGAATTATTGTTTCTCTGGTGCACCAGAGAAAGAGAGTGAAACCAGAGGAATGCAGCAAGGCTGATTCACCTTGGTATGAGAACAAACTTTTATCGTGGTTAAAAAATGCTGGTCAGAACCCATTCAGTGGATTTTCACCATCCATTGAACTCTCAGTTTGAAGAGCACTGGCCTGGAGGCAGTGCTTGGGCAGAATCAGAGTTTGCAGGGTGAGTGTGGTGGGAGTTCTGATCTGCATATAGCCAGGGTTTGAAGAACATTTGGAATTTGCATTAACACTGGGAGCCTGAGAACAGTGCTCAAGATCATTAACAGCCAGTGGGTCTCACTGCCCAGACAGCCAGGATATGATGTGGTATCCCAGGAGAGGGGCTCTCTGCTCTGGTTTTAATTGGTTTTCCTGGTGCGGGAGGAAGTCCTGCAGGACTGTCCAGACTCGGGCCATCGCAGCTGAAGAAACCCTGGGGAGTCTCACAGTTTTAGTAATAAAATTCCATGAATGAAGAGAGAATATAGGAGTTGGGCAAGGTCAAAGGCAACAAGATTTTAAAAATAACACTGATTAGATTATTCTGTCCAAGGGGAAAAAAAGATCCATTTATTTTAGAAAATGTGTAAATACCAAAAGCACAAGTAAAAAAAAAAGATCCTTAACATTTTGCATGTGTCTTTATAGTCTGTGTGTGTGTGTGTATGTGTGCATCTATACCTTTATATTAAGCATTATTGTGATTATACTGTATTGTATATCTTATTTTATGACCTTTTTGTTGCTTAATTCATTATGGAAAATTCTGATATTATTAAATATTCTTCTAGTTTGTGATATTTCATGATCTT